ACAGGTGTGTCCCTCCCCTGTCCCCAGGTGTGACAGAGGTGTCCCCAGGTGTGACAGGTGTCCCCAGGTGTGACAGGTGTGTCCCCGCAGGTACTGCCTGTTGCAGTCCATCAAGCACTGCCAGGTACAACGCGAGAGTTTGCTGCGCGCGGGGAAGAAAATCGCCTACCAGGGCCGGGTGAAGGACGAGCCGGCGTACTACTGTAACGAGTGTGATGTGAGTGTCACCCTGTCACCGTCACTGTGTCACCGTCACTGTGTCACCGTCACTGTGTCACTGTGTCACCCTGTCACTGTGTCACCCTGTCACTGTCACTGTACTACTGTAACGAGTGTGATGTGTCACCCTGTCACCGTCACTGTGTCACCCTGTCACCGTCACCCTGTCACCCTGTCACCGTCACTGTGTCACTGTGTCACCCTGTCACTGTCACTGTACTACTGTAACAAGTGTGATGTGTCACCCTGTCACCGTCACTGTGTCACCCTGTCACCATCACCGTGTCACCCTGTCACTGTGTCACCCTGTCACTGTGTCACCCTGTCACCATCACCGTGTCACCCTGTCACTGTGTCACCCTGTCACTGTCACTGTGTCACTGTCATTGTACTACTGTAACGAGTGTGATGTGTGTCACCCTGTCACCCTGTCACCGTCACCATGTCACCCTGTGACTGTGTCACCCTGTCGTGTCAGCTGTACTACTGTAACGAGTGTTGTGTGAGTGTCACCCTGTGACCGTCACCCTGTCACCGTCACCGTGTCACTGTTGCTGTGTCACTGTGTCCCCCTGTCACTGTGTCGCCCTGTCACTGTCACTGTACTACTGTAACGAGTGTTGTGTGAGTGTCACCCTGTCACCGTCACCCTGTCACCGTCACCCTGTCACTGTGTCATTGTCACTGTGTCACTGTCACCGTGTCACTGTCACTGCCCGCTGCCCCCTGCCATGACCCCTGACCCCCCGACTGACCCCACCTGTCACCCCCCGGTACAGGTGAAGGTGTTCAACATCCTGTTCGTGACGAGCGATACAGGCGGACGCAACACCTGACCCTGACCCCGTGTGTGACTGACCCCTGACCCCAGTCTGACTGACCCTTGTCTGACTGACCCCTGACTGACCCCTGACCCCGTGTGTGACTGACACCTGACTGACCCCTGACCCTCACCTGTCCCCCGTGTACAGGTGGAGGTGTTCAACATCCTGTTTGTGACGAGCGATACAGGCGGACGCAACACCTACCTGGTGCACTGCGAGGGTTGTGCGCGGCGCCGCGGGGGCGGCCTGGCCGGGGTTGTTGTCCTGGAGCAGTACAAGACCGAGGAGCTGATGCAGATCTACGATGGTTTCACCTTGGTGAGAACACCTGGACACACCTGGGGACACCTGGGGACATCTGGGGACAGCTGGGGACACCTGGGGGTACCTGGGGACACACCTGGGGACACCTGGACACACCTGGGGACACCTCTGGGGACAGCTGGGGACACTTGGGGACACCTGGGGACACCTGGGGACATTTGGGGACACCTGGGGGTACCTGGGGACACACCTGGGGACACACCTGGGGACAGCTGGGGGTACCTGGGGACACACCTGGGGACACCTGGGGACACTTGGGGACACCTGGGGACACACCTGGGACACCTGGGAGAGGTGGGGGTACCTTGGGACACACCTGGACACACCTGGGGACACCTGGGGACACCTGGGGACACCTGGGACAGGTTTGGGACACCTGGAGGACACACCTGGGAGAGGTGGGGGTACCTTGGGATACACCTGGACACACCTGGGGACACCTGGACACACCTGGGGACACTCTGGGGACACCTGGGGACACCTGAGGATACCTGGACACACCTGGGGACACCTGGGGACACCTGGGACAGGTTTGGGACACCTGGAGGACACACCTGGGAGAGGTGGGGGTACCTTGGGACACACCTGGACACACCTGGGGACACTCTGGGGACACCTGGGGACACCTGAGGACACCTGGGGACACTCTGGGGACACCTGGGGACATTTGGGGACACCTGGACCCCCCCCCCGGTGTCCCCAAGGTGGGGGAGGGGATGGGGGGGGTTTTACACTGAACTGAC